CCATGTATAGGTTCCCCTTTAATTTTCCCAATATTTTCTACCCTAACTTATTTATTTACTTCAAAGAAACAGGAAGCACTTAGATATAGACAGATATAGTGGGCCACTCAAACACACAGAGAATTTCCTCATATCAGTCTAAGGCCACTTCACTTTAAATGATAGAATCAATATATTCTTTTCATTGTTTTTAAAAAATGTTTTGGCCAGTTTGTTTTTTTTTTTTCCCCCGGAGGCATGCAAAAAGGACAAATTCTGAAAGTTCAAAAAGACACTAACAAAATATTTTTATAAATCACTTACTAACAAGTTGCTCATACTAATAACAAGAATCAAACTGACATCATTATGGGATATAAGTCGCATTTTTACTAATGATACTTGTTATCTTTTGCCTCTGGCAAAAACTAAAAAAAAAAATATAATATTTGTTGTCGTAAACAATGTGATATATATATGCTATGACCGGTCTTAAAGATAAGAACTAATTTATTGTGTAATTTAATTATAAATTAATTTTTATATTTAGGATAGGAGGTAGTATTACAAAATTGTGGAGAAGTTCTATCTCTTAACATCAGCCTACGCATAATGCATAAGGTCAAAGGTCTAAGTTTTTGTTTGTCCAAAAGAAAAAAGGGTCTAATTTTTTATAATTGTGACTGCATGATGAGGAAGTGCCTTAGATATGTGAACATGTGCAAATAATAATGAAGCGTACAATTGCTACTCCTCAGGTCTTCCCTGCGAGGCAGGAAAAGAAGATTTTTTTAATTTTATCCGTAAATCACATTATTAAATTTTTTTTTATATAAATGTACAATCTAGATTTTGTTTTCATGTATAGTGTATATTAGATATGAGAACAGTTAAAAAGTTATTAAATTTTAAAACAGAATTAATAAAATTTAAAATTTTTAATTTATTGATTCCGGTTAAAATATGTTGGGAGTGACTCGTAAATAAAAATAGATGAGCTTATTTATAAATTACTTCTAACATGTTTTATTAAAACTAAGAAAAATCTTAAATCTCATTAATTTTATCTTAAAATTTAGCACCTTTTCAATTTATTCCTATTTTAATATATATATTTTTCAAGAAAATAATAATCTATAAAATAATAGATAAAGATAAAATAATGAATTCATATTAAAAATTTAATAATACGACTTGTAAATTTTTCAAAAAAAAAAACTTATCTTTTTAACTTACAAATAGAATCAAAGGAATTCACAATAATCAAAACGGGTAGGAGATAGTGTTAAGGGAAATTTAGTTAAAAGTCCCCTCTTTGACAAATTAATTAGGAAATGGACATGCAATAAATGTAAAGATATAGGTATAAATCTCTCAAATATCAGTAAGTGTGGTAGGAAAAATACTATATTACATTGACGGATGCTAATTACATATGATAGATTCTAATTGTATATGGTGGATACCTAGCTATATATGAGATCTTATTACATATTATGGATCCTAATTACAGATTTTGATCCAAATTTACATATTATTGATTCTAATTGCATATTGTAATACCTAGTTGTATATGGTATCTTATTGCATATAATTGATCTAAAGTTGCATAGTGGTTATTCTAATTGCATATATGAATACTTAGCATATAAGACCTTATTGCATATCACAGATCATAATTGCATATTACTGATCTAAAGTTGTATATGCCTGATTCTAATGCATATTACAGATGCTTAGTTGCATATAAACTTTATTGCATATCACGGATTCTAATTGTATATCATTGATCTAAATTTGCATACTGCTGAATTCTAATTGCATATATGTTATATTTAGATAAAAAAATTCTTTTGCATAGTACTCTCAAACAAATTCTTATCTATGAATGCTATGCCAATAACGGATTCCACTTCCATCGTGTTAATTTGTAGATAAGAATTTGTTTGTGAGTACTATGCAAAAGAATTTCTTTATGTAAATTTGGATCAATGATATGCAATGTGAATCACCAATATGCAACTTTGTATCAATTATTATAATTAGGATCCATAATATGCAATAACATATCATATGTAACTAGATATCCGCAATATGCAAGTTTGAATCAACGATATGTAATTAGGATTTGTAATAAATAATAAGATCTCATATGCAACTAAGTATCCACCATATACACTTAGGATCCATGATATACAAATGAGGATCCGTCATATGCAATTAGCATCCATCAGGAATATGATCTTTTTCCATCACATATTGATATTTGAGGGGATCATACCTTTATATTTATTATAGGTCCCTTTTCTAATTAATTCTCAAAGAGAGACTTTCAACCAATTTTTACTAATGTTAATTCATTTAATACGTATGTAGAGAATATAAATAAAATGAAATGGAGGAGAGAGAAAAGGTGGGGGGTGTGGCTCGACATTGATAGTTCACCTTTTTTTCGGAAGTCTTACTTCTGAAAAAGGCAACATTAGACTTTATTTATACCTTTTCTTCAAACATATTTTACACTAATTAATAATCCAATAATCCAAGGAATGAGTGAAACTATTTGCAACTCATGAATAATGCTCTAATAAATTACCTATATATATTGATATATTTATTTTCATATGTTCAAAATTACAAATCACTTTCTTAACCTGTCAAAAAGAAGTGAATGATGCTGATATTTTAAAAAGTAGAGAAGTAAATAGAATTAAACAAATAATATTACAAATATTTGTGGTAATATTAGAGAGAGAGAAAGAGAGAGGGGTTTGACATTGATATCTCGTTCTTTTTTGTAGCGTTGCTTCTAAAAAGGGTAGCAATAGACTTTATTTTTGCCTCTCGTTCAAGCATGTTTGCAACTTTACACCAACTTCTATATTAATTTCTGATTTTATGTTTTTAATAATAATATGAACTTTCTTAAGTAAATTCTTTTTATCGAATATACATATTTAAAATACAAAAGAAAACTGAAATATATAAATATTATAAAATTAAACTTGTGATTGTGACAACAGCATTTCTCCATCTGAAAAAGCTCATGAGATATCAATGAAGTTTTTAAACTGATTTTATCCCTGTGTGTGGGTAACATAAAATATAATTCACAGCAAAACATGAGCTAAAACCTTTCAAATGAAAAGACAAAAGAGGGAGAATTACAACAAAATTTTAAGAAAAAAAATAATTATTAAAAAGTATTAATAACAAGTGAAAAGTTGTCAATAGTTGATAGTTATATGTTTCAAGACTAGACCACATTTACCATTTCTTGCTCAAAAGTTTATACCCAAAAAATAAAGGAGTTTCTGCTGAAATGGTGTCATGGACGTTGCTTCACCTAGTTTTTCAGTTATAACAGTTACTCTCTCGTGTCTCTCTCCTTTAAAACCTCATTAATGTGAATAAAGTTAAAAAATTTATTAATTTAAGATAGATTTAATGAATTAACTGTAATTTTTTGACACGTGTGTGAATTAATTGAAAATGCCCTATGATAAGAATAGGAGGGAGCACAACAACAAATCTCCTACAATATTGCCAATTAACTGAAAAAATATATATTCACCAGAATATTGAAGTTTTTTTTTTTTTGGGCCTGACATATATTGAAGTTGAGATAGCACAAAATTAAAACAAAGTTTTTAGATTACCAAAATAAAATGAATGTCTGGAACTAAATTGATAGAGAGATGAAAAGAGTGTTTTCTTAGTAACACATTTCTTTATAGACATCTCAGATTTGCAAGTGACACATTTTATTTGGCCAAAGATGCAAATTTTGTTTAAAATATTTAATCAAAATTTAAAAGGATAATGAAACTTTTTAATAATTTGATTCTTGAAGTTAAAAATTAAACTTTAGGGAGTTAAAAGGATAGTGCAGTCATTTCATCACCAGACCTCATAGGGGCGTATAGAGTTGCTAAAAGCAAAAACACCAAGCAACGCCTGTGGAGACTGTGTTAAGTGGTCAAAATTGATTAACTTAATACTTGTGGCATTTTTGCATGGTTTTGTAAGCTAAATATCTATTGTTGCACCTTTTTTTAATATGTTTGTTAAATGGTCAATATTAATTGACTAACCGTGACATTTTTGTATTATTTTAAAAACTTCGAATACCTCTACACTCAAGAAAATTTCATGGTGTTCTACATCCATGGCAAAGCTAGAATATTTCACTAGTAAATTTACACCTTAATCATATTGTGCGACATTTTATTATTTTTATATCATATAAATTTAATAATAATGGTGGTAGTAATGTACAATTCATTATCCACATATCAAGCAAATTAAGACCTATTTATAATAACTTATAAGCAGCTTTTTATTATAATTTATAGAATACGAGATAAATATATGAAAGAAGTTTTATCTTAACTTGTATAAAATGTGCTTATAAGTATCTATAAATATGATTCCAACGAGGGCCTAAAATCTGTCTCTTGCGTGGGTAGTTTGAAGAATCTTAAATGGGAAGGTGGAAGTGGAAGTCACATGTTTGTGGGAATGTGTGAAAGGACGAGGGGGGGGGGTAGATGGGGGTCCTCATATCATGGAAGCAGATGGGCCCCAAGTACTGCACCGCATCATAGCTCTCATCTTTGTCTCATCTCTACGATGCGTTTCTATCTCCAATCCAAGTTTCTTTAAAACTGTCTATTTTCCTTTTCCAACATTTCCCCCACAAAGAATTAGTTAAAACGCAATCTGTAATTTCTCTTAATTTACAGACTCTTGAAATTTTAAAACTTATTACCGAGCCACTCTCCCATCCTAAATATAAAACCTAGTAAATATAAAATTTTGATCCACTTTGTCTGATACTGGTTTCCGACCTTTTTGTTATTCCCATTATAAAACACTCATCTTTCCCTGTTGAAACATCTTTATGCAAGATCTGAATTGACTATTTCACTTACCCTACTCGGATCTCTTCTCAGTTTTTCACTCTTCTATTCTCAGCCTTGCAACTGCAACTACACAGCCAAAGAATAAATCCATACAGCTTCAAAATGAACATAATTATAATAAACTCAATCGTATTGACGGAAGAGTTTGGTAATTAACATAATACCAGCTGCATTATTATCCGGCTACCAGTATTTACCAACCAACCTTCAGGAAATAAAAAGAAAAGAAAAGAAAAACCATAATGTTCTGGAGACAAAACCTAGGATGACCAAATACAAAGTCTATTTTCCAGCAGAGAAATCAACCCAGCTGGCCAAAGATTGATATGAGCCTCTTTGATGAACTCTGCTAAGTACTCTGGCAGACAACCAATAACTTCAGCCAACAACATCCATAGAAAATGAGCTAACTGTAAACAGTTTGACATGTTACGGGCATGTAGTCCTAGTCCTGCAGGTTACCATAACAAGGCTTCAAGACATGTGGCTCCAGCGGCCCGGCCATGAGCTGTTGGCTCCGAGCTCCACAACTCAGAAATCCACATGTATCTACCCAGTGTCAGGGTTGTCAAATCAAAAACAAGAACAAAAACAAATTAGCTGGGTTGACAATGCTGCAGAAAAACCATGATACTTTACATGACGAGAATTTATTGATTCTTCAAATCTTTTACTTGGGTGTTCAACTTTTCAGTCAAAATATTTTTTTGGCAATCGTGCCTCCTTATGGTTTGGCCAAAAAATGAAGGGGAAAAAAAAAAAAACTCATGCCACATTAGATCATTGATGTTCACCATTTTCAAGTCCTGAGCAACCCCATACACCCAAAAAATTAAGTAAATCATGGTTGAGGACTGCTAAATGCACAACTAATCCATATACCTTGATGAACTCCGGTATCTTGAGCATGCAATGTTAGTTGGGTCGACCAGAGCTCCTGACTCAATAATTCAGTGACATGCAGTTATGTTAATCAAATGAACCACAATGGTAAGTAAAGTTCAGAAATAAACTTATCACAATTAAAGAGTACTTACTACAGAAGATAGCATTTTCCCAGCAGAAACCCCCACTTAAGTTGGCATTAGATTGTAACTAGAGCCAGGACTATTGGTTTCCTGCAAAACGAGCTTCCATCAAAACTTCATATGGGTACAACTGAGTGCACAAACTACAAGGGACTGATTGGCCAAAAAGGTAAAAATCATAAGGTAATTGTGATTGCTTACCAATGAAAAATATGAAAATGCCAAGCAACTTCAGGAAATCGCATATGCATATAAGCTTCCTGTTAATTATGGAGATACCGTTTACAGTGGGTAAGCAATACGAAATGGCCAGGCACAAAAAGTAGTAATCAAAATTCAGGATCACTTGTACTATACTTTACAATATGAAGCAAGGCACACCAATTATAGCATAACCAAGCAAGAAAAATCAGGATAATTTTCCAATTGTTCACACATTAAAAACTTGCATGTCCCAAATATACATATTTTCCTTCAAAAAAAAAAAAAAAGAAGCTCATTTCACCCAAGATGCATAAGGAGAACTTGGTGTTAGACTTAACTATGACAAGCCATTAGATGTTGTATTAGAATGTCCTAGGAGGGAGAAGAAAAATCGCAAGAACTCCATTGGAATGGAACATCAATCAAATGATAATTTCACAGGAATATAAATGTTTACCTTGTCCAAGGATCAAAACAGCATTTGAAGCTAGAGAAATGACATCTTGGATCCTTTCGCCGGAGAAAATAACTTGAACAACTGAGAGAAAGCAGAAATTGTCTAGATTACTAAGGAATTATATGGATAAAGTAATCAACCAAGGGTGTTCTGAAATTACTTCACAAATTTTGTATGAAAGGAGGACAAATATGATAAGAAGTAACATATTATAGGAGGTGTAGGCAGTAACATATGAGCTGAATGATTCCAAAGTCAAATAAGCTCTTACATAACAGTAAAAAGTCAAATATAGAAAAAATATTAAACGAAATTATAGTGGAACACTAGAGCTTCATTTGCAAGAAAAAGCAAACTTGTATCAAAGCAAAATGTGAGTATTTTCTATCCACTCAGCCGTTAGAAACAAGTAGAAAAAGAATTATGGATATTTATTTCTACAACTTTGATGAATATCATGCATAGAAGTTAAAAATCTGAACAGGAAACCATGAACCAAGAAAATAAACAAAAACCAAATAAATAAACTTTCAATTCCCCATTACAAATCCAAACACCATAGGAACGGTATTACCTGGAAGATGTGGGAGCTTATCATCCCCATCATTTCCATCAGTTGCATTTGAAGCATTGTCCACGTCAATTGCCACCACATGTACAGTATTGTGTCCATCCGATATCCAGGCAGTCTGGGAAACTGTGAGATTAAAACAATACCAGCATAAAGAAAAGGGAAGTTAAACAGATATCATTTGCTAGAAGGGCATAGAACTTCAAAGTATTTATCCTAACAGTACTGTTGTTCTGTTATCCAAGCATTTCTCACATTCTGAGGTTTGAACCAAGAAAGGCATTTTTATCGTCCTCCAATTACCTGTCATTCTATGTGTAGAAATTCAAGCTTCATTATTATGCAGCCATTTACGTATATAGAAGGTAAAAGAGCAAATTCCTACTCTAACTAAAAGGTATAACTCTAAAAACAAGATATTTTTTGACTTGATCAAAACAGAAAACTTGAAGTCATCTTATCGTAATCAAAACAGAACACTCAAAGCGAATCCTAAATACATAGAAATGTTATCCAAAAAATAACTATAGACCAATAAGCCTCTATTGAAACCCAAAAAAAAAAAAAAAAAAGGAGAACTTCAACATGCATGTAGATTATAGGCCTTGCCAACATTTCAAACAAAATAATAGTCTGTATATTGCATATCAACATTCTTTTGGTACCCTTCCTGTAAAAATTCACTCAAGCGAATGTCATTGGGCATTTGAATTGATAGTAATTAATTCATTTTAAGTATATTTTAAAGAAAGTCAGCTCATTTACAACCCACCAAAAATATTAGCCATAAAAGGTATAGTTTTTAGTGAACAGAAAAGATGTATTTTTTTTGGGTGAGAAAAAAATCTATGCCATTGATAGGAACTAGAGTCCTTTACGGCTTTACTAGTATTATGCTTTATGTTTTATGCTTTATGTTTTATGTCTATTATGTGATTTTGTATTAGCCATCATAAGTGTCTTATGTCAGTTATTTTAAGTTAGTGTCAGTTTTACAAATGTCCTATGTCAGTTATTTTAAGATAATGTCAGTTTTATATGTTTAGGAAAGAGTAGTTGTTTGCAGTAACTGTATTAGGCTATAAATATTAGACATGTATTCTATCAATGATATGGATGAAAGAATGGTTATACAGTTTCCTAACTTTCTCCTCTGTTTCCCTAGAACTAGATTCTGGTTCTAGTCTCCCCCTTTTCTCTCTCCCTTCCTTTCTTCTTTTCTCTCTATTTCTTTCATTCTTCTTCTCTCCTCTCTAGAATAACGGATTCTGGTTCTAGAGTTCTTCTTCTCTACTCTTTCTTTTCTCTCTCTTCCCCTTTTCCCCTATTTCTACTTCAATTTTCCAGATTCTAACAGTCATCAAATCTTAAAACCATATATTTATGACTACACATAATAGTATTAAGTATCAGATTAATGCATGAATAAAGTATAACTTATTTAGTGGCTCAAGGTATTATGCTCAATGGCTCTTCTATGTTCAACTATATATCGCACATAACAGAAAATATTGAAGTGGCGTTTATTATTTAAAAAAAAATAGCAATTTGAATTCAAATACTCCCAGCAATAACTTGTGTATCCATCAGATTTGCCTTAATGTCTACCAAACACCCCTCCTTTATAAAGAAACAAATAGTTAAGTAGACCAATTAACTCCTCATGGACATGGGAATGTCATCTTATATTCATGATACTGTACATCCCTCATGGTCTCTCTTCGTTCTTCACTCAGCCTAATTCTTTAAGTCTGGCACAGAAACATGCATCCTCCCAAATGTAAGGATTAGTAGATAAAGTAATATTGAAGGGGAAAAAATTATTTCATATGGTATGAGCTTACTAAAGCAAGCACTTTAGTCAAACGGACTTTCAATAAGTGAAATGAAAACTAAATCTTTGGCATCTCCTACATTCATTTGCCACCACCCTTCCCCTATTGATTGTTGATGTATAAATATTATACCGTTCTCTCTCTTCTTTTTTTTTTTTAAACTAATTATAGTTTTGCTGGTAAGACATCCTTCATGTACTTATGTAAAAACTTTCATCTATATGTTAAAAGAAAAGGCTATGAAAAATAAATTACTTCAAAAATAGAGACCGTATCAGACTCAGTCATTAAACTGTTTAACAATGATTTAAATGGATTCATTGTTAACTTCCCTTTCTTTCCAGTTAAGGCATTTTTAAATCCAGATAAATGAATGAATGAGAAAAACTGTCACATTCCATGTACTTTCGGTTTCTCAAATTATAGAAAGGCAGGCCATACTTATAGAAAAATACAATATTTATTCAGCATAGACATGATTATCATAAATGCATTATTAGTTTAAGGATTACAATGCAATTTTTTTTTACCCCACAAAAAATCACTCCATGTTTTGCTAATATACAAATGCTTTAATTAAGAGACAATCTACAATCTATAAATCAAATAACAAAGATAGAAAACGAAGAAAAAAAGGGAGATGCTTACTCATAGAGACATCTGGATGAATAGCCATATTCTGCACTTTCATTGTGCGAGTCAACTGCCTCATATGACCAGTCATATTTGCTCCCACAACAGAATTATCAAGACATAGCAAGTGTAAATCTCCAGCTGAGTCTAAGACCAGAAACTTTCTTTGGGACAGAGCCTGAATGGAGACTGCTTTTGTGGATATCGATACCTTGGCTGAAGATTTTGTTTCCACATCATATCTCTTCAATGCCACAAAACAGACGCCTCCATCTCTGTCATCTTGTCTAAACTTTGCGTTCATCTGCTTCACTAAAAGAAAAACAACAAATATTAGCTGCAACGATAAAGAGTAGCAGAAACAATTTCCAATGGAATTTAGAAACAAGTAATCAGGTATGAGATTCCTACAGATATAATACACCGTGAAGAATTACTAAAATTAAGGCCACTGTAAAGGTGCCTTGTTAAACTTCCGTTATATGCATCAAGAGGCATCTTCATGTGTTACTAAACAAACAACAGAACCTTGCATTGCACCTGGTTAGAGAGAATAACAAGAAAACAACTTGTTGGCAGAAGTTACACATGGAAGAAATTTACAGACTAGTGCTATTCAGAATAGGACAGAAGACTACATTACCTATTGAGGCCACTAGTATTAACCATCACCTAGCATTAAATACAGCAGGACAACGGCATAATGATAGTTGAAAAACAGAAAAAATCAATTCATTCAGAACCCATGTTTATAAACACACCACGTCTCCTCACAAGGCAATTTCTAAGTTCTAAAACAGTGATAGATTTTCATGCAAAAATGTGATTCTTCATATTTTATGGCTTTCAACTCTGTTTTTACTCTCATCCAGATGAATTGGCTCAGTACTGATGATGAATGTTATGGCTCCTGGGGCACAAATAATAGATAAAAACACTATATTCCACAATGAAATGATGATTGCAAAGAGCAGATTTGGCAAATGACTTGAGGAGTAAGAAGCAGGATGGTGTTGAATGAAGTAAGCTCCCATTGTAGACCGTTGGGTATGCAGATGCACTCAATTTATATTATCGTGGTAGGCATGGAAGTAGCTTCCACTCATAGTTGGTATGGGACACGACTGAAGATTGTTTCATTTAAATTAATCTTCCCATCAAATATTCATCATTATGAACGCACCTCCACAACCTTCTGAAAAGCCCCTTCCATCCTAGTGGAGACAAAATAACAATACCTTCCCGCTAATCCAAAATTAGCTTGAAATTTCCAAACAAGGGCAATAACTACCATCCTGTGTACCTTAGACTTTCAGACGCATATCTCAACACAAGGGGTATACAACAACAACCATCACATGTTGATATTGCAATTTTTGTATAGGTTTTAAAAAAAAAAAAAAACGAGACAAGATCATAAGCACTCGCTTGATCTACAATGTCAGAGGTGGCAAAGAACAAATTATAGTCAGGAGAAAGAAAGCTCCAGAAAACACAAAAGTGAACAAAAAATAAAATAATAAATTCAAGCTTTTAAGAAGACGCAACCAAATCCATTGAGGCCTTGGTTTTTACCAGTCTTGCAGCCTCGCAAGCCACAAGTAACTAACAGAAATCCTAGAAGATATGCAAAAGAAGCAAAACACGATATTCCATCCAGAAAATAATGTGGGTGCGTATCCTCACTTCCTCGGAAGCAGTGATTTGCAAACTGATAAAAAATGGCAAGTGCTAGCTCTCAGAAAGCATTGTCATGTTTCTTCCGCTAACTGAAATCGCATTCAAATTCCTTTTCTCTTCCAATCAATCCCTTCGATGATACTTCATGAAAGTTCAAGAATGATTACTTTCAGCACCCATAGCCAGACCAATGACAATAATTCAATAAACATCTCAGAATGCCACCAAGAACAAGGGGCATTTTTGTATGCTTTCCAGAAATAAACCCTCAAAAAAATTGGAAATTTGCTGGGAAAATTATGTAAGATAACATCAATAATTTGATAAATACTCACCAGGCCCACGATGTTTTCCGATTTTCCACTCCACATCACCATTGCAGGTTACCTCCGAAAGCCCCTCAATACCGTGACTCTTACTTCCTCGATCTCTAGCTCCATGTTTCCTATAATCATTACCAATGATACCATTCGGTAGAGAAGATCCTCGAATATCTGACTTCAGACTCTTCGCTTTATTATCCCGCCCTTTTACCAGGCGTCTAAGATTGAAAACTCTAACTCCATTTTCTTCCCCTAAGAGCAGGAACCCAAACGAAATACTGAGAGACCAAATGGGCTTAGAACACTCAACCACAGCACACCTCATTAATTTCACTACCACACTATCATCATCACCTCCATCGCCACCCTCCATCTTGGCCCCGAACACCCAGATTTTGGAGCTCGAGACAGAGTACATCGCGAAGTAGTTAATGGACCCAGCTAGTTTAATCGAAACCCCGTGCTTTGCGTTGACCAAGACCCCCAAATTCGACTCAAATCGGAGGTCTTTCTGGGAGCAAAGAACTCGGGCTTTTGCAAAAGCCTTGCTCTTCCGCAATATGTAAAACCGGAGAAGAACCTCAGACCCTGCTTTGCGGGGACCAGACACAATGAAGAGGACCCGAGGGGTAGAATTAGGGTTTGAACTCTGAAGGAGAAGGAAGGTGGAGGATGAAGAAGGAGAAGGAATTAAGGTATGCAGAGAAGGAAAGGAGGAGGAGGAAGAAGAAAGAGGAGAAAAGGAAGGATAGAGAGAGAAGGAAGAGTCAGAGTGCATGAGAGCAAGAGAGAGCGAACTGGGCTCAAAGAGAACGGAAGTTATGTGAGGAGAAAAGAGAGACGGATTAGGGAGGGTAAGCTTGGAAGCTTGGACAACAACCATTAGAAGAAAAGAATGAAATCAGTAGTCACTGCAATTTCTTCTAGAGAAGGCATTGATTTTCCTGTGAGAAGAGAGAGGGGTTGAAGAAGGTGAGGAACATCGTCGTATTGGTCCATTTGTGCCGCTCCTTCCAAATTTGTGTTCGTTTAGGCCTCGGGAGATCCAAGATTGAATTTTTAATGATAATAATCATTTTAATATAAAGTTCAAACTATAATTTTAAAAATAATTTATAACATACAAAATATATAAAATAAAAATTATTTTGATGGGTGTGAAAACATTTTTAAAAATACGCGTTGGATACACATCTTGCATTCTTCTTTATTTGCACGACTGCCTAATTTATCCACCGGCTCTCCTATGATTTTATCAACAAGATTTTTAGGTGATATAATATTGTTTAAAAAATCCAAATAAATGGACACCTAGATTTGTAGATTAGCTAATATTAGTCGGCAAAATAGATTAACTAATATTATTAATGCCCCCGATTATATATTTAATAATTTCTCAAGAATTCCCAAATGAACAACTATAAGTAACAAATCCAAATAAATGAAAGACAGATTTTTTTTAAAAAAAAATAATTGTTTGCCCTGTTGCAATTGTTACTTCGACACAGTTTGCATCAGCCAACCTTGTCTAGTCTCAATTCCAATAGGTTTCAGATATTTTTTTTTAAAAACAAATCATCAATCGCCACCATTCATTAAGCTTTATCCAATGAACAAACACGATAAGCCATGGCCGACCTAGAACATGAGTACTCTAATATCTCCGGGTAATGTGATTCCAGATATATAGCCACCGAAATCTGACATGAACTATTGAGAATGAGAAGTAAAAATTATATTATATCCGGTTCTAATTATAAGATCTAATTGACTAATTTAAGGAGATTAAGGAAAGAAGTTAAATTAGTTATTTGTAACAAATAGGTATTGTCTTTCCTAAAATATCCTTATTAATCAAGTGTATTGGCTAGAACTACTATTGTTAGAAGGATTACTTTGAAAAAAAATACATAAATATGAGAAACAAAGTGGATTGAGATCTTATATTTAGGACCAAAATAAAAGTCAAACAAGGTCTTATATTAAGGACTGGAGATAGTAATTGATACTGAAAAAACTTATTGGAAGAATATTCTTTGGGATTGGACAAACACATGGTATTCCTCAATCTCAGTTCTAAATAGTAGGTAATCAGATTAGACAAACCCATAATATTCCCTGATCTCAATTTTAAGTAACAAGCAATCTCACGTATTAAAATCTTTTTTAATAATTTTTTTAATCCAAATATCAATTTTTATCTTTTATTCTCAATGCTTCATATCTATCATGACCAATTATTACGTGAGCTTCTTGATTAATTCCAAACAATATTTATATACATGGCAAGTATAGAGCATTCAGAAGTTATTCATTTCATGAGACTTTATGAAGAGATGGTGTTGCATATTGGCCTAATAAGCCCATACATCAATTGTTATATGCACAGAAAGATTAGTACAACTTATTCATCTCAAATGTGTTAATCTCCAAGACTCATCGACATAAAAAGTCTTTTTTAATTTCTCATCTTTTTTTGTTGTGGATGACTTGATCTTCTTTTTTGGATGAACAAGTTAAAGTTGTGAAATATGTGATGAATTTGTCCAAGCTCAGGTAATTACAACTATGAGGTAACTCTTACGAAGACAAGAATGTTCTACTCACTAAATGTGCATAATGAGTTAAAACTTGGGCATAGGCATTACAACTAATCGGGGAAGTATTTAGAAAGGTTTATTAATCCTAGCAAACTTCATTCTTTCTTTTCATATGTATGTGCAAATTCGCATAAAAATTGACTGCTCCTTCTTCTTCTTCTTTAACTAAAAAGACAGGTGTTAATAGCCTAAGATTACAGGCAGGATTGAACCTGCGATCTCTCATTTACATGAAAGCATAAATGCCACTAAAGCTCTTTTATGCGGGCAGAATTACTCCTGGTTGCTCAATCTTGACTTAAAATATTAGGAGAGGTGTACGCTGACTTTGGTAGCTGAGATATGAGCACGTTTGGAATAGGAGACAATGAGAGTCATGAGAATCTTCGAGCTTCAAGCTTAAACCTAATTCTCAGGGATAGTGGTGAAACAATTTGGTGACACTTGGGAAGATTTAGTTGGTTGGTACAGAAGACATGTTTCAATTTGACGATAGAATAACTAAGTAAGAAAAGAAGGGTGTAATTGACTGGTCATTTAAAAGGCAAAGAGGTATGGGATTCAGACGGCAGACTCTGAAACATACAGCTGGATGAAGCTTATATGCGTGTGGTTTGCTAGGCCTCGCTCGCACCTACCCATGGCCCAACAAAACCGCCCTCCACCGCCACCCCGGGGGGGGGGGGGCCTTGCCCACTCTGCGGGTTCATCTGCTCCCCAAAACGCGTCGTTTTACTTCAATTTGCCTCCAGTTGTCTCATAAGTCATATAATATATATGTGTGTGTGTGTGTGTGTGTGTGTCAAGACTTACTCCGGTTACGTAAATTAAATCACTCACGTGAAAAATATTCAGTATCAACTCGTTCAAAATACTACCTCCGGTCTTTAATATAAGATTTTGTTTGACTTTTATTTTGATCCTAAATATAAGACCCTAATTCACTTTGTCTCTCGTATTTATATATTTTTTTCAAGGTAATCTTTTAGTAATGGTAATTCTAGTCAATACACTTGATTAGTAAGGATATTTTAGGAAAGAAAATATCTATTTATGACAAATAACTAACTCAACTTATTTTTTTAATATCCTCAAATTAGTCAACTAGTTCTTATAATTAGGATCGGAAGTAGTATAAAAGTTCTTGAAGGGTTTGATTTAGTCTTCAATGCAAATCTTTATTTTACTTTCCCTCCTAAATTTTTATTTTCTCCGGATTATTCTTGTTAGAACATGTGATTAAAAGAATTTCCATTAACAGGGTACTTTCCAATTCAAATGATTAGGATTGTTTTAGGAAAATTAACACATCTTTTATAAATAACTAAATTAATTATTTTTTCTTAATATTTATAAATTATTTGTTATTTAGCTCTTGCATTAATATATTAGCAATCTTTTAACAGGTGACATTCTTCATTAACACAGTACTTAATCATAAATTAATTATTCAAACAAAAGATTTTAAAAGATTTATTAGTGGGTGGCCTTATGGCTCAACGAAACTAATAAACGACGCCTGCCGCCCTCCCTCAAGCTTATCTTATTAACTCTTAATTTTGAACTTTTTTAAAAAAATAATGCATTTTATCTTTAATACAAAAGTTAGTTAATTAATTTGAATGGATTAAGGAAGTTTGTTAAACTAGTTATTTATGATAAATACGTATTGTCTTTCATAAAATACTCTTACTAATCATATGTATTAGTTAAAACTATCATTTGATAAAATCTTTAATATGTACAATTATTATAAAGACTATTTTGAAAAAAATAGATAAATATAAGAGATAAAGTAGATTGTGGTCTTATTTAAGACTAAATTAAAAATTAAACTAACTTTATATTAAGGATCAGAAGTGGTATAACATCATGTATTACTAACTCTATTCCTAATTATAATATTTTATTTATAATTTATAAACGAGGTGTCATGATCAGAATAATTTATTCAATTAAAAAAAAGCACGTGCCAATCCGCGGCACTCTCATTGACAGCATGTCCGCACTGGAGTGTAGTTACTGGGAAGCTCCCTCTCGTACTTCTTCCTCCGGTCGAACCTCATCGTTTTTCTATAAATATGCAATCACCTTCACTACTACTTCCTTCAATGGAACCACTCATCACCTCCACCTCCGCCGCCGTCACCACCACTCCGCCAACCTACCGTGGTGTTCGCATGCGAAAGTGGGGCAAATGGGTGTCCGAAGTCCGGGAGCCCGGCAAGAAGACCCGGATATGGTTAGGGAGCTATGACACGCCAGAGATGGCTGCAGCTGCATACGATGTCGCAGCTTTACATTTTCGTGGCCAAGCCGCACGGCTCAACTTCCCGGAGCTCATCGGCAGCCTGCCCCGGCCGGCAAGCTCCCGAGCTGAGGATGTGCGGTTGGCAGCACAGCAAGCAGCATTGAACCTAGAGAGAGTGGTGATCAGAGGGCCGTCGGAGGCAAGCCACGGCACTACGTCTACAGTGGAGGCGGCGCCAGTGACGGTGGGGCTATCGCCGAGCCAAATTCAGGCTATAAATGAGTCGCCATTGGATTCACCAAAGATGTGGATGCAGATGGCTGCTGAAGCTGCTCCTTTGCTAGGATTTGATGTATTACCGTCTAATGATGAGGACGACGGCCAAGAAGCATTAAGGTTGAGTGAACCAGAAGAAACGCAGCATTATGAATCAATATGGGAATTTTAAATTAAGCTTTTTGTGATTTAGTTAATTAATTAATCAAATTGAATATTGTACACAACATATAATTGAAATAAGGCAAGTTGGAGTCTTTTGGGAGGAAAAACGGCATGTTTGTGTTATGCAGACAATTCTAATTTGTTGTTTGTAGGTATATAGATTGTTGTCAAGCTAACAAGTTGACTATCCGAGTTTAATATTTTACTTTTTCAGCTCATAAAATTGTATTAACTTGTTTTTAAACTTGTAATAGTTGTAAACCAAGCTGAACTTATGAGTTTACTCAACGAATTTATCGTTTTTACGTTTATTTCTAACTTATAAAATCGTATTAATTCGTTCTTAAACTTGTGTTAAATTTTTTAATTTGGTTATATTTAGTGACTTTGTATATGAATTTCATAAAAATTTCTCTATTTAATATGGTATATTATGAACATTAATAAATTTAATTTCAATTATTTGGATTTAAAATATATTCAAATGAAATTGTTGTTATTTTTTATACTTTAATTATTTAATTATATACTTTCAATACTAATTTATTAATAAAAGTAAACTCGTTTGAATTTATATCTCTATCACAAGTTTGCTTAAACTCGTAAGTTTAATAATTTAGTTACATACCTTTAATGTTACATACATACATATATATATATATATAAGCAAGAAAATCAATCAACAATTTGTCAAAATGGTGATTATTTTCCCCCTCTCAAGAATCTACTTTCTGGTAAATCACTTTTTCTTTTTTTCTTTTTTTTTAAAAAAAAAAGAGATTTGCCTTGTCCTTCTCTCCTAGTTCTAATAATTCCGAAACTTAATTAATTTGAAATATATGCGACGAAAACTAATTATTTGTAGGATTTTTTAAAAAAAAAATAAAGGTGAAAAGGGAAAAATTGATGTCTTGACACTCTTTGTTGCCTTCAGTCCAAAAAAAAAAGGGGGACACTCTTTGGTTACATTATTTCTTAAATTATAATGATGCAACTGTAGAAGGTTCAATTTGTTCATGCATACCAAGCTTTTTTTCTTCGGTAGGAATTATCAAGCACGTTTTGCTTTGTTTTTTTTTTTTTTAATCAAGCATGTTTTTTCAAGTTAGTTAAGTTTTGGGAATTTAAATATATGATCATTTGCAACAAAGCCCCTTCAAAAAGTCTGTCGTACAAGAGGATTAATCATTGGTAATAGCGATGGATGCTCTAGGCTCAACGAAAAAAATGATCATTTCCTTCACATTAACTAATTAAATAATTTGTAATTTTAAAATTAAACTCTCATATAAATTCTTCATTTATCTATTTTTTTTAATGAATTATGAATTTTATCCCAACCAAAGTCTACTTGGACCTACAAATAAAGACTTTGGAGATACTTGACATCAGAGAATCTTCCTTTGAAAAAGTTGAGCACACGCCTTTCACCTCACAGCGTTGACTAATTCTTTTGTTAGAAATTTGGGGAACATTTGCATGAGCAGCTGTTGAGCAAATTTAATAATAACCACTTGTTGTGATTGCATCTGCAATGACAAATCTAAATTTTGGACGCATCATCAATATTAATATGAAATGTCAAATATAAGGCTCACTTGTGTCAGTTTATCATAATTCTTAAGTATCGGTTTGGTTATTATAGGAATTTGAAATTTGATTTATCGGAATTCCAAGAGTGCCAGAGATAATATATGCTATGGAATCTGCCTTGGTACAAAGTTTTAGAGGAGTTTATGTTGATATTAGCATTAGAATTGTCCATTTTGTTACGTTTGGTACAAAGACTTTAGCAATTCGGTGTTTGGATGTAATTAAAACTATAATTTTAAAAATATTTTTACAGTATACAAAATAAATATATGTAGAAATTTATCTCGTTTTATGAAAAAGTGCTTCCGAACAGCACTTTTGGTTGCTTCCAAACACCCCGTAAGAGACCACCCAATATCACCTTTCATGGATATTGCAAAATTTTAAAAGTTATTCTCAGCCCTAATGTCATGTTCAATCTCATTCCTAATTCTCTAAAATTCAATACTTGAACTAAACAGGCCAAGAAATTTGGTTTTAAGCGATGTTGAAAAAAGTATCTAAAATTCTCCAGTGATCACCGTTGTTGGCCACCTATGCATCAGAGCGACGACAACGGTATAGCCTATAAAACTTGAAAAACTTTTCCTCCATGAAGGAGGAGGAGAAACAATTGGCTCATCCATAGGCTACAAAGTTGAAAACAAGTCCAAGATATTAATTTCAAAGTAATTTTCTGGTGAATATGAAATAAAGTACCTCCTTCAGTTCTAAATACAAACATCGTTTGTAGTGTAGATTAATTATACTGCAAATGAGACCCTCATAATTGGTTTCCTTCTCTTCTTGAAGGAACTCAACGCCTATTTAGTTCATAGATTGGATGAGAATGGAATGTTCATTCCATGAATTTGTTTTGTATAATATTAAGCGCCCGTTTTTGAAGGAATTACACACATTTCCTCATGCACTGATTAAAGTCTAAGAACAGAGCCATACCATATGATCCACAACACAACATGGCAGAGAATCCATTTCACAAAAGGGCAACAAGGAAGAGAAAGATTAAAACACATCGGCAATTAAGAGGCCTGCAATCTGCAGGTTACTCCGGCCAAAAAAAAAACTACAGTTTGGGTCATCTCGATTTTGATCCAATATTAATCAGCAAAGCTAATCCGTTTTTATTCCACATTCTACCCTGTTTTGGATTTAGTACGGACCTAGGCACTAAACACCCAATCCAGCCAGATAAATACTCATGAGACAATAACCAGAAACTCTTTAGAAAATTCAATCTACAAGAGATAGACAAATCAAGTCAATCATGAATAAACTTGAATCAGAACCGAGTCCAAACAAATAGATTTGAATCTTCTAAACTTCTCAACAGAATGAACATCATGAATTTCAGGAAAAAGCAAGATGCTAAATATGAGGACCGCTAGTTCTCTTTATTTCTCTCATGTGAGCACCAAATTAATCGTGTTCTGAAATGGTCTAAATTTTCAAGAGCTAATGTTATGCATACTTACATGCGCTTGGTATGGTTTACATCATCTCAGTACATCAAATGCTTTGACAAGAATAAGTATCACCTAGAAAAAGATATTTTGACAAGAAAATATTTCTCCCGTTAACCAAGCTGCAAATCCAATCCAGAAAACCACATGCTCACCTTAATACTTTTCAGGGTCTTCCAAGCACAACCTACACATAACAATCTTGATGACAAGCATAGCTGGTAGCTTCTCTTACTTCAAGGCTTATTGTCACACCACATTCCCTCACCATGTTCGAAGAACATACAAAATCTTGCTTCCAGATCACTTCCAGCCTCAATTACTATCGTAATAAAACAAACTTCAACTGAAGATCTTGAACTCTAATTATGTCAACGGTCCTCAATTATTGATGACAGAAGACAATGGCAGTTGTATGTTAATAGTAGCAGCGACTGAAGCAAAAATAGGAAAAGTTATTATTATTTTCTTATAAAATCCTTTCCAGCGAAAACAATGGAGCTTTAATTTAGAACTTCTTTTCATCTCCTCTAGGATGCACGTTAAATGCCTCTAGGAGGTGCTGATAAATCACATTATTACATATATAATTGCTCATCGCCATAATCCTATTTTAGTAAATATCAGCAGCTCATATAGTCATCCCACAATTTGAAACTTAAAACAGGGGATAAATGCAAACGCACCCTACCAACTTTAGCCTTCAGGGTGTTTTCAAACACTTTTTTCAAAGAAGGATCAATGTAAACACACCCTTTCAACTTTAAGTCGCTTGCATAGACCTATTTTCAGCCCAAAAAACTGAAAATTAGGCCATTAAAGGAGTTGTTGCAAAGGTAGGGAGACAAAACAGCATGAAGAATGAGATCAGAAAGAAATCAACCTCATTATGATTAGCTGGTCAAAACTCATCCACTTGAAGTTTACAAGGGAAATGCTGAGCATTTAGCAAAACCTGTCTACAAAATTCAGCATTTGCATTTACTTCTCTATAATGCTCCAGTATCTCCTCATTAATTCTGACTGCATTGCTTTTTTTGACTTCTCAAGACGCTTACTTACCGACAGGCAAACCCGAAAATTAGGTTTAAGACCCTTATCCATCATCTCATGCAGAATCTTCGAGGCTTGCAGTACATTGCCTTTATTCAAATGAAGGGCTGCAAGCAAACTGTAGTTCGCATTGCTGGAATACCTCTGCTTAGTAACAGATTCAACCACAAACTTATGTGCTTCCTCATATTTTTTTGATCTGAAATAAGCCTTTATTATTGCAGCATTTGATGCAATACAAGGTTCAATACCCCTCCCAATCATTCTATCAAGAAATTCCAATACTAAATCAAAATGGCCACGTTTACATAGGAAGTGAATAAGTATATCACAGGTACTTGCATCTGGTAAACCATACTCCTTCTCTATAGCCTCAAGCATTTGGGTAGCTTCAGCAAATTTTTCATTTGTGCATAAACAACTAATCACCATATTATAACTAGTTATATTTGGAGCACAACCGTTCTGCTTCATTTCTTTTAACAATTTCCTTGCCCTTTCACAATCCCTTTTTCTACAAAACTCCCTAATCAAGATATTATAATGATTCACCTTCCTCCCTGCTGTCCCTATCACGAACTCGGCTATATCAAATGAACCAGAAACACAAAATATTTCTATCAATGACCGGATGCCTGAAGTTTGACATGACCCTCCAACCTCATTTAACACAGATATTACTTTCTCGGTAGATTCCATAAGAGAAGCCCTGTGCAAACTTGAATCAAGCAAGAACCCAAATGCTTTTTGCTCCAAGCACACACATTTAAAGTTAAATTCCTTCAAAATGGGAACCATTACCTCGTAATTTTCCAGTCGCCCACAATTATCAATAACCAGGCTACATATATGCGAATCATGACAAAATTCAGGATGCGAAGCCCTAAGCCAATCAAAGAATCGTAATGCCGACACTCTTTCACGAGACAATATCTGAAAAATTTTTACACACGACGGTATGGATAAAGTGACATTCTTCCCATTCAACTTGGAGCTCAAATCGTTTTCGCCCCCTCTCAGTAAGTCAACGATTTCAGAGACCTGCTTGGCAGTCGGAAACGGTGTGCGCTGATCAATAGAAGCGAAATACGACCTAAAATGCCTACAAGTGTGACGTCTATAAAAATCAATCTTCAAGTAGATGTCTCCATCGTCAAATTGTAAGGACGATGAAGGATTAAAAAAATGGTATTTGGATTTGAAAACTGAGGAATTGAGAGAGGTCGAAGAGTGAAGGAAGCTGAATCTGATGTATAAAGTTGAACGGGGACTTGTCGTCGGTAAGGTAGTGGAAGAGATTGGTGGCAAGAAGGACTGATAGAATAGAAATCTAGAGGAGAGAGGCTTCAAGGAGTACCTGATGCTCTTGCACAAGTTTCGGATTTCCATGCGAACTTTTGAGTTCGCATTGACCTTAAACCCTAATTATACCCACCAAGTTTCCCAATTCCATAATTACACTTGTTCGATTTTTCCCCGCCCAGAAGCTTCTCTACGCTCTTCAGTTTCACGTCAGAGTGAAAATTCCTCTATTGAAGCCTATTATCATCCCTTCCGGCTTCAGCTCCTCCCCCTCCACCTCCTCCTTCACTCTTCTCCATTCTTTCCCTTTTCTTCCCTTCCCCCCCGGGGTTTGGGTTGTCTTTTTTTTTTTTTTTGTTTGGACTCAGTTTTGGTTCTCTAATATTCTTTTAAAAATAAATTCAAAGAAAAATTGTAAAAAAAAACCTTGTAAAAATGCAGATAAAGACCCTTGATAATTTCATTTTGGGTTTTGACAAGACAATAATAATATGTCATCAAATTATCAAAACCCAAAGTAAAATTGTCAATAGTTCCTTATGTTTTTGTAGTTCCAAAGTCTTTTTTTATAATTTCTCTTAAATTCAATTATACCATTATTTACTACTAGTACATTACTAAATTTAATAAATATACATTAAATTTTCTTAAACGCTTTACTTTTATTTATTGAATCCTGAAATTTTATTATTAAAATATTAATGGTGTCAATTTGAAAATTGACCAATTACATCCAGAAAAATGCATTCTTATGCAAACAAAAAAGGTTGAAGTAAAAAAAAAAATGTTAATATTATATTTTGCACTACGTTTGTTAGTCTAAATAATACTTCAAACAATCGTCCTACGGAAGAAAATAATTTTCAATCCAACATTAAGTTTCGACTCTCGCAAGACTTATCTTGACATTTTACCTGGAGTTTCGTTATGAATTTTGTTGTCTTAACTCTTTTAGTTATGAATTAAAGCTCTTTGTTGTAATTTAATTGACACTTGGCACTTTCTTTTTTAAAAAAAAAAATTGTCTAAGTATTAGGTTGAGTGTTTGCTTTTTGTGAACTGGCTGGTAATGATGTTTAATCAGATCATAAATTTTGTTTGGCAGAGGCACTTGTGAGTTTTGCAAGGCCAAAATTTGACACTCAAGCATAGTATTCCTCCAGTCCTTAATATAAAACCTAATTGTTAAGTTGATTTTAGTTATAAATATAAGACCCATTTATCATATTTATCATTTTTTTTAAATTATCTCTATAAATACTTCCTCAATCATAATCAAGTAGAAAAGAAAGAAGGGATATTAAGAAAGATGATTATGGTATTTTAGGAAAAACATGTCACATTTTTTATAATTAACTTACCTAACTTTCTTAATCTAATCATATTAGTTAAATGGGTCTTATATATTAATTGTTACCTAAGAGAATATTTTCAGGTTTTGTATCACAGTGGACAATGTAGTTTCTACACTCCTCACGAAGGTAAGTGATAGCCGTCGCAGTGCACAGGGCAATTCTGAATCGATACTGCCAATTCAACAATTTCTTAGACTGATGTTCATTGACAAAAAGAAATTGGTCCAGAGACCCATTTTCATGAACTCGTAAACTAAAAGCCTATGCTTTCCTTCAGAACAAAACCCAATCAGCCTCACCAAGTTGAGATGATGAGTGCGGATTATAGTAGCAACCTCCATTCTGAACTGTTTCTCACCTTGCTCAATGCCCTCAAGTTCTTTCACTGTAAACAGCACCAAATCCACAATCACCAAGCTTCTCTTTGAACCCTTTATTTGAACGATGAAGCTCCTTGTATGATAACTGAACTGGTGCTCCAGAAGCATACTCAAGAAGAGCAGACTGCGTTGAGAATCCAAGAAAACACGAATCACGTTTACAATACCAAAGCAATAAGCCACCCTCGAAGATAATCAAAGCTAAAAGGGTACCCAAAACAACTACCACTACTATCCACGCGCGTGTCTCCCATTTCTTTATCTCCCAAGGCGGATTTGGAGCCACTGGTCCGCAAACCTTAACATATGAAGTGCTGGGTAGCGCTGGATTTGGTAGGTACAGATGAAACTAGATGTCTATATGTAACAGAGACCTGCGGCATCTAATAATGAACTAGAAGCAAACAAGAAGCAGCTGCGAGGCAATTTCCTCTGCAAGTTGATATACCAACAAAAAATAAGACAACTTTATTTTGCCTAAAATTAGATTCATAAACTATACAGTCTGTTACCTCTCAAAAGTCAACCACAGTAACATCTAAAATTCCTTATCAGTCTACTGATTTCTAGTTCAGTTTTTCTTTGTTTAATTTCTTTTTTTTTTTTTATTACAAGGAATTTTCACCTTAAACTCAAGAAACCTCCTCATCTTGCAATTTTCAACATCTCAGCTTTTTTTTTTTTTTTAATAACTAAATGACAGCCTATGTGCACATAAGATTAGAATTCAAATATACCAGAGCACAAAGATCACAAAGTAAGCATTAAGAATAATTTCAATTTTGGCTGGTACAAGCCATAATGGTGTGAACTTCAAAATTTCCTATCCTGGACATGCTTGCAAAAGCACTTCACTTCAATGACAATTATACATCAAACTATATTCTGGTCAAACCAGTCAATCAACTGTATATATTCACAACAAAATGTACAAGCCTTCGCTAACCACTCATGCTAGCTAAACATGAATTTGATCTACAGTATCTCACCTTGCTTTATTTCTTCAGGAGGCCTCTATCTCCTTCATTCTATGTAGAAGTTTCCCTGCCTTGTCATTCTCATTGTTTTCAAGAAGATATCGAATAATGATTTCAAAAGTAACAGAGTTAGGGAGTAAGCCGTTTCCTTCCATTCCATCAAGCAAGGCCTTGGCTTCATCAAGCAAACCCTGTTTACAAAATCCATGAATCATAGCAGTATATACATGGACATCTAGATGATAACCTTTGGCCAAAAGATACTGAAAAATCTCCCAAGCAACATTTAATCTGCCACCTTTACACAAACCATCAATAAGTACAGTGTAGGTCTTCTTGTCAGGCTGAAATCCTTGATTGACAATTTGCTTAAATAATGTAACTGCCTTGTCAAGATGTCCTTTTTTGCAAAATGCATCCAATAAGATATTATACGTGATTATATCAGCACGAAGACCCCTCTCATGCATCTCATAAATAATATGCTGTGCACAAGAGATTCTTTGTGATTTGAGCAAGCCATCAATAACACAGTTATAAGTGACAACATTAGGAACCAAATTTCTAGAATGCAATTCCTTAAAAAGATCCATGGCTTCATCCACCATTTTCATCTTAAAGGATGCATTGATCAAAATATTATAACTAAAAAGGGTAGGTGCCAAACCATTTTCAATCATCCTGTTAAATACTTCCCTAGCCTCAATGATATTATTGGTCAAACAATATCCATCCATTAAAGCATTATACGTAACAACATCAGGTCTCTGATCACTTTTCACCATCCTAGCAAATACAGCTTGAGCATCAATAATCCTGCCATCTTTACATAAGGCATCAACTAGAATGCTGAAAGTATAATTATCCGGATGGATGTCTTTAGGTATCATCTCACCAAGTATTTCATTTGCTTGTTGCCACTGACCCACGCGACAAAAGCCATGGACAAGACTATTATAAGTAACAACATTTGGAGATACCCCATGATCAATCATTTCCAAATACAATTTGTGTGCATCATTGACAAGTCCGTCTTTACAAAGGGCATCAATGATTGTGCTGTAGACAACGACATTAGGCTTGACTAAATTTTTCTCCATCATTTGCAATAATTTAATGGCAGATCGAGTTTTTCCCATTTTACATAGCCCATTTGTTAATATTCCATAGGTGACTTCATCTAACTTAAATCCTTTCGCCACTATGTCATCATAAAAATCTAGAGCTTTGCCAACATTTTGATTAAAACACAGCCCTTTTACTAATGTAGTCAGAGTTACAACAGTTGGTAGATAACCCATCTTGAAAATTTTCCCCAATATAGAGAAAGCAAAATCCATCTGCTCAACGTGGTAGTAACAATTGATCAAGATGTTCAGGCCAGTTAAATCTGGTGTGAATCCCTTAAACTCGGCTAGCGCAAGAGGTGAGATAACCTGGGGATAATGTTTCATCTTCGCTATAGATCCTAAAATCTTATTGATATGGCGGCAAGATGGCAGGGGACGCATGTGGAGCATGCGATTGACTGTAGAAACAGCGTCATTAAGGCTGTTGGGATTTAGGGAATGAGAATGAAGTAGACATTTGAGGGTGAGGGAAGAAGGGGAAGAGAGAAGGAAGGTACAAGTAGCAAAGAGAGGAAATTTGGTGAAGGAGGAGTACCTTGCAGAAGCAGACGAAAGCATATCGAGATCGATCAGATTGAAGGAGGAGCATCTGCGACGCATATGCTTCTTCACTTCACCGAATGGAAAACGCACTAAGCTTTGCCCAGTGAATCAAATCGAAGCGTGAAGGGAGCGTGAAGCCGAAGCGTGACGGAACGGGCTTGGCTTTCCTCATCGGCGGGGAAGCATCCTTTTTTTTTTTGGCCAGAGGGGAAAAATCTAAATTAGGCCCGCCATCAAGTTAGTCGTTCGTATTTGGATCAGATGATATTTCAATGGCCCATTTATTTTGCTTTTTGGCGAATGATAGTCCATTTAATCAATCGTTAATAAAGATAAAATTTCTGCGGGCACTCTTATTTTTTTGTGTATTTAGGTTGATATTTAATCAACACTTAAAATTTAAAATATAAAAACAAATACAAATACAAGGATGTACACACACATGTTCTAATCATGATAATCTTTAATTAAATTATAATATATGTACACATTTTATTATTTCCATTAGTAATTTATAGGTCTTTCTCAAAATTTATCAACATATTATGATTTTGCTAAAAATTATACATTTATTTATTTTTACTCCGAGGAGTGATATGATGCTCAGAATAAAAAGAATTGCAAGATCTTTATTTTTAAAGAAAACACTTTCCCTAATTTATATAATTATTTTACAATGTTTAATTAGAGTATCAAAACTTAGCACCAGGAGTGCTTCTAAAAAGTATTTTTTTTGTAATTCAAGATAAATTCATTCACATATTTATTTTGAATACCGTAAAAGTACTTTTAAAATCATGATTTTGATTCCATCCGAATACCTCCTAAGTCTAATTATAAAAGATGATGATGATGATACAGGATATTATAAACTAATCATATGTGTGTGTCATAAATATCTATCTATTATAAAAACTTATAATGGGTCATAGTATAATTTAGGAAAAATCCTAAAAATAGATTGTTGAATTTTAAAATTTTAAATCAGGAATTACTACAAAAATGTGTTGCTATTTGTTTTTTAGTATAGTCATTTTCTTTGTGAATGTAGTAACCAATACTGATTTGAAATTTTGAAATTCAATAATCATTTTTTTAGGATTTTCTCCATAAGTTAATCTTCACATCTTACCTTAACGATATGCCATTTCCCACTCCTTTTTGCAAGAAATATTTGTCTATTACTTGCCAAACATGATAATCAAATAAGAATTATTGTACAGTTATATACATGTAATTTAATTATTAAAAAATATTATAGCAAATAGTAGTACGTAATAACAAGTTTTACTGAGAAAATAACAATAGGTGCATAACTTTCACTTCTTGTGAGATGCCTACTGCTTGCTTGTTATAAAGTTTTTTAATGATCAGATCAAATAATTTTTCTCAATTTTATTAATTCTTTTGACCTTGTCCTAATTTTAGTGATTAACCCATGCATTTAGAATCCAGCTGGAGCGTTGGGCTTATTTTTGGAGGTTTTCCATGAATTTCTTGGAATAAAACATTTATACTATCCCTAATATTTAATATAAAAACTAGTTTGATTTTTAATTTGGTTCTAAATATAAGATCTAAATCCATTTTATCTCTCATATTTCTTCATTTTTCTCAAAATAGTCCTTGTAGTAGTTGCATATGTTAAATGTTTTATCAAATATTAAAGTTAATACTACATTTGATTAGCAAAGAGTATTTTAGAGAATACAACACATATTTATTACAAATAACTAACTTAACAAGCCTTTTTAATCTACTCAAATTACTCAACTAGCTCTTATCTTAAAGACCAGAGGTAATATTGAAGAGTTTATGTAGTTTATGATACTTGAAGATGAGGAATCCTATGAGAATTTTAAGGGTTATGGGTATCCATTCATGAAATATTCATAATACTTTCTCTTGGATGTCCATAATGAATATTGTACATCATTTAAACCTTACTAAGAAAAACCCGTCGTGACAAAAACTTAGTGAAAAAAAAAAGTCCATAATATTTACTCTCCCTAATAATAACATCATTTTATGTCTTTAAGTCTGTGCATTCCAATACCATATACTAATTTCTCAAATGTTTTAGTCAGCAGTGTCTTGGTAAACAAATCAACAAGGTTGTCACATGAGCGAATTTGAGGGAGGTAGTATATTTCCTCCAATTTTTAATATAAAAGCTAATTTAAATTTTAATTTAGTCATAAATATAAGACCTTAATCTATTGTGTCTATCATGTTTATCTATTTTTTTAAGATAGCCCTTGTAGTGCTACATATATTAAAAGTTTTATCAATTTATAATTCTAACTAATACACATGATTAGTAATGGTATTTTAAAAAAGACAACATCTATTTATTACAAATAACTAACTCGACTAATTTTCTTAACTTATTTAAATTAGTTAACTAACTTTTATACTAAGCATACGAAGGTTTTTCATCCTTTTAATCTAAGGCCCCCAAGGTCTAAAAGGGCTTCAATGGAACTTTCTCTACCCCTCCACGTGGACTGTGGTGTAATTTCCATATGTACATAAGGTATAGTAAAAAAAAGTTAGTTCACCAAATTTTTTACTCTCAGGCTCTCGTGTGTTTGGAAGAGTATGTGAAAATAATGGAAAATAGCTGAATTTTAGCAATTCTTGAGTCATTTGGTCGATGAACTACGACCAGCGATGTGGAAAAGCTAGGGAGCGGAGAACAAAATCATAAACAAAGAACAGAATATTTGAAGGACAGAACAGGTATATTCCAAACATTATAAGGATAATTTTGAGATGATATTGTAATTCTAGGTGAACCAGAATTTATCCACTACTTTTCGTTTTAGTAACTCTAATCTGCATTGTTTTTTAAATTTATGATTTAAAATCATCTGGATCGAGTTTGTTTGTTAAGTATGTTTCAATACAAATGATTAAAAAAATATTTTAAAACATCAACACATAGTAATAATTATAAGACTAAAATGCAAATTTACCCTGAAAATTTTTATTTAGGAGCAATGTTACCCTCGAGGGTTCAAGATTATCCTAGAAGTATTAAAATGAAGCAATGCTATCCTTTTGCTGTTAAAAATGTTAGTAGTCAATATTAATATTTTAATGGCCAATATTATATTTTTAATCGGGTGGGTCAAATTGCTATGTTTTGAAACTTTCAAAATGACATTGACACTACTACAAAAAAGAGTATTCACGACGCTAATTTACGGCAGTTATTAGCAAAAACATTGTAAAAAATATGACGGTGGCATTTTTGTAATTATAGGCGGACTTTTAACGGCGGTTTTTTAAATAACCGCCGTAAAAAGTCTATCAGAATTTTAAAATCCATCGCGCGATAGTTTTCACTTTTCAGAGTCAAAGCTCATAGTCCCCCATATCACATCCTCACTCGATTTTCTCTCCCTCCCCTATATTTGTCGGCGTTTATCCATTGCTTCTATCATTTCCGCCATATTCTTCCATCACTGTCGCTGTTGCTGTTGCCATCACCATCACCTCATCCTCTTCATTCTTATTTGTGAGTTTTTCACCTCCATTCTTTCTGTGGATTTTGCAGTTTTTGTGGGTTTGATATGATTATTTTCTTTAGTTAAAATAAGATGCTTAATCTGAGTTTAAAGAGATCTGATTTTTAGCAGATCTGAGTTTTTGATTTTATCATATCTGAGTCTTTGATTTTACCTTTATTAAATCTTAGTTGCTTCGATCTGGTGGCCAAGGTGAAGCTAAATGACGCTATGAAGGCAGGAAAGAATCTATATTTACTCCATCAGAATGCTTTTAACTGGCGAGAGATTTCCTTTGAGACTTTGTTCTCCCGTTCCCTCCTGATCAGTAGGATGAAACGTAGCTTAAAGGAATAAAAATTTTTCATGGCGGTTATTTATATAACCGCCGTGAAAAGTCACATATCACGGCGGTTTAAAAACCGCCGTGAAATCATCTACATTTTACGTCGATGGCATAGACGTCGGTCTCAAAACCGCCGTAAAAAGCTTATTTTAACCGCCATTAAATATATTTTTTGTAGTAGTGTGAATCCAAAAACTTTGAACTGTCAGGATAAATTTATACCTTAAATCTATATTTAAAAATAACTAATTTTTTTTATAATTAATTACTCCTCGTTCTTGTTATAACCATTTCCTAGTGTTTCATATGATATAATATGTGTTGTTTAAAGAGTTAGTTTTTTCCACCTAACATTCTTAACTGATTATAAAGCCTTCTAATTAATTAATTAAACTCCTATAACTAATAACTTTTATGGAGGGTAATTTTGATATTTTACATGACTGATTTTAATACTCTTAATAAGAATTAAATGGAGTATATTATATCAAACATTGCATAGACTTGAAAAGGTAAATGAATCGCGGTATGGAATTTGCAGTGGCTCCAAGTTTAAACTAATGTTCCGCACAACAACGAGTGATGGATTTTTAAAGAGGAGTTTCAGCTTTTATGATGAGTAAGCAATCTATGATTTTTCTTTTAATTTCAAATGCGACAAGTTTTAGGGATGATGATGATGATATCCTTTTGCTTTAAAATTAATTTTATTTTAACATCTATAACACTTCCGTAAAGTT